TTGCCAACATGATTTGGAAAGGAGGATTAGAAAAGTTTGTTATTAAATATTATGGATGTTTAGCTAGAATAGGAGATAAGGATTCAGTGTTATTGAAGGATTTTAGAAATATTAAATGAAATGCCAATATGTGGTTATGTATTAAATCTTGGTATATTTTATGATGAAGGACGTTTAAATAATTATATAAAAATGGAGGTATAAGGGTAACATGTATAAATATTTGAGTTAAAATACTTGAGTTAATATGAATTATGCTTGATGACTGTGGAATAGATGCACAAAAACGTTTTGTAACCAACTGATACACTTTCTACAATATATAAAGAAGGAAGATTTTATGTGTTGTGTTTGTTTTGAAAATAAAAATAAATTCTATTTTTTTAAAAAGCAACTCCTTCCCTGTTCGCAACAAGTACGTAGTTCTTCAGCAGCCCTGCAAAGAGTACAAAAACACATTTATACACTGCCAGCTACAGGCTTATCTCTCACCCAGCATTTCTGGCTTCTTTTTCTTCTTCTTCTAACTTTAGTCCTCTGGCATTCTTTTTTCCAATTTTTGTTGTTCTATTTTCTGGCACTTTGAAATCCTGCATCACTCCTTAATTATGAAGCAACCAAGCCATCAAGGAAGTCCCCCTTTAGAGAGAATGTCTCTCTTTTTTGAGGAAAATGCCAGGAAACAGTAGTACTTTTTTCTTTTACAATCATCCTGTCACAAATACCAGTACTTTAACCTCTCAGTAGCCAATGCAGCAACTGAAGTACAGGTGTTATGCTGCTAGACCTAGTTAGCTAGATTTTGGACCAGTCAGGTTTTTCAAGCTGTCTTTGAAAGCAACTTAGCATAGATGTGTAGTTGTGTAACTACATGATGATGAACGTGTAACTTGTTATCAAAAGGGCTTCTTAGACCAAATGCACATTCAGATGCAAAACATTTCCAATTCATGTAATATACAGTAGATTAAAATAGACGTTATCTATTTTATAGTGGTGATCAAAACACACAATTATATCCTGTACTTCTTAATAGTTTTAGGGCAGGGGTTGGTTCCGGCAGCCACTAGTGCCCGTTTGCTCATGGGCGCATAGTGCACACTTAATGTGCGCTGCATGCGCATGTGCAGTATAATAAAAATAGTTTTGCGCATGCACAGAAGCCAAAAACAAGATGCCGGCGCCTACAGTGCCACCAGGAGAACTGATTTGGGAGCGTGACAGGCCTCAGTCTCTGCCGGTTCCAGCAACCCAGGCAGCCAAACCACTACTGGCTCAGCTGAACCAGTCCAAACCAGTAGGAACCCACCACTGTTCTAGGGTAGTATCCACTGTTGCCACTATCTGTCTTGAGTTGCTTGTCTAGTAATAGCTGTTCTTTGCTATTTTGCCTTCTGAGGATTTTTTTGTTGTTTTGTAAATAGCTCAAGGTGATAAGCCCTTTTAATCAGTAACAAACTACATGCTTTGTTTTTTGTTTCTGTGCAGTTAACTGTTTGGATCGGCATGTGCAACATACACCAGACAAAATAGCTTTGATTTGGGAAAAAGATGAGCCCGGTACTGAAGAAAAAATAACTTACAGGTATGACATGTTCCACCTACTTGGTTTCAAAATTATCTGTGCAGAATTTGGAAAAGTCATACTGTGTTGCTTGCTTTTGTATGAAATCTGTGATAACACTATTAGAAGAGACATCACAGAAGAGAAAATATTTATTCTCCTGTGCGGTGCTTGGAGAGTCCAAGCATGAGTTAAATACAGTCTATCTTTTTCCTTAACCACGCCTCCTTTGCATCATCGAGGTCAGTTTTAAAAACTCAGTCCGCCTGTTAGAACTAAATTTGTGGAGATCCTCAGTTCTAGATCAGATAGACTAGACTCTCCAAATAGAACACAGTGATTTAGAATTTTTTATTTTTGTATAGATTGTTGCACAGCATAGATTAGGCTTTATAGGAAGATTCAGTTGATTTTGAACCTGCTGAGGTGGCTGTCAGGGCTCTGTGGAGCTGCCGGTTGCACGCAGCACATGGAGTAGTGGAGGTGCTTGTCCGGTGGCTGCCGGCAAGTACGGGGGCGGCAGGAGGTTTCCTGTCAGTTTCCCAGCCGCTTTGTTTCACCTTATAGCCTTCAGTTACTCATTTAGAGCTCCGGCGGTGTTGGCAGTTTCTCCTCAGCCCGACCAGCACGGCGGCCATTTTGAAAGTGTTTTGCATGCTTTCTGAAGCTACAAAGGGAGGCATTCAGCCCAGAGAGTGGCGGTGTGTGGGGGCGGCCATTTTAAGTGCCTTTTCTTGCTGGATCGTCATCGGAAGACTCAAAAACCACCACGTCTTTGCGCTAAAGCCCCTCAGCCGCAGATCACCACCAGGGAGTCTCTGACCTTGTCCTGGGCGCCGGCAAGATCTACCTCCCTGCAGCACAGTTAGGGACCACTGAGTGCGGCCTTAGGAATTGTGGCTACTTAGGTCACTCCCCTATAACTGTTGATCTGCAGGTGCAATGGAGCCTGCCAGCCCGCGCCTGATGCCACGCTATTGCTACAGCCTTTTCTCTCCATTGGAGGACGACCTATTGATCTGCAAGTCACCATGGCAGACAGAGGTTTGGAGGTGCAGGAGGAGATGGCAGAGCACTCTTTGAAACTCAGTAGGCCAGATCCTCCATCACAAGGGGGGAAGGGAAGGAAAGGCACTATAGGGAAGAAATCCCAGGAACCCTCAGGCAGTAAAATCACCCCCAGGGAAGACCCCAGGAGGCACAAGCCTGTTGCAAAAACTGTGGGGAAAGCAAGAGAGCAGCCCAGATCACCTGAGCAGAGGCCTCCCTTGCCTGACCCTCTATTGATCAGATGGGAAAGGCAGAACCGGGATCTCCTCAGGGAGATAGCTCCCCATCGGTGGTTGAGGAGGTGTTACGGGACTCTTCACCCGAGGCCTCCTGAGGATACTCTGACTCCCCTAGTTCTTCTATTAGGGAGGAACCAGAGCCCTTTCAATGTTTCCCCCCTCAGGAGGAGGACAAACGTTCAAGCAGGGCTAAAGGCGTCTGCTCCTTCTAGGGCTCAGCCTAAAGAAGACAAGGGCCTTGCCTTGTCTGCAGAGATGAGGGAAGTTATTGCCATAACCATCTCTCAGGGTATAGCTGAGGGGATCCGCCAGAAGGATGCTCGAGCCTCTGGTTCTTCCAAGCCACGGCCACACACAGTTCAGGACAGGGACCGTGCCCCGGCTCCTCCTGGCACCTCGGTTGCCACGGAGGGATCTGTCTCAGAGGAGGTGGAGGAGGAATTTGAGTTATTGGAGAATGAGGATCTTCCTCCTGATAAACCCGCCTTCACCAGCCTATTTAAACTGTCCCTATTCAAGGCCATCCTCCACAAGGCTAAGGCCTCCACTGAGTTAGAAGCCAAGCCCAAGGATAAGGCTGTTCCCGCTACCTCTCAGGACCCCAAGGAGGGTCTATTTAAGGAAAATGCCCCAACTCAGGAACTGATTCAGGTTCCTGATCTTTTTATGGACGTTGTCCAACGCCAGTGGGCATAGCCTGGTACCCTGGGAGTGGGGGAGTGAGGGAGATAACCCGAGTGGAGGAGATAAAAACTTATATTCTATAGAGACCAGAATGGACAACATCTTGAAATTGCTGGAAGTAGATGCTCCGGTAGTTTCATTAACTTCTAATTCAGCTCTGCTGGCGAACCTTCTAGAGAGTCTTAAGGTGGAGGATAAGAGGTCGGAGAAAGCCTGTCATAAAATGCATCAGGCGGCCCACCTGGGCAATCAGGGTATCCACCTCGGCATCCTTCTTTACCAGGGCCTCACTCCTCTGGCTGTATCATCTTAGATCTAAACCTCCTTCGGAAGGGTCTCGATGGCACCATGACATTAGCAAGATTATCACCGCTGTAGAGTATGCAGCTGACGCTTCGCTGAACGCGGGTATGTTCGCTAGTTGAGCGTTGGCGTCCAATGTGACCTCCCGCCGCCTGCTATGACTTCGCCACTAGCAGGCGGATATGAAGGCCAAGTAGAAGTTGGCTTCCATCCCCTTTAAGGGTGACCAACTTTTTGGAGAGCCCTAGATTATTTTGTGATAGAGATGAAGGACAAACACAAGATCCTTCCATCTACCCATAAGAAGAATGACTGGAAGGGCTCGGGATCATTCGGGAAACAGAGCTTTTGACCACAAGAGCCTGCACAGGCCTTTTCTGCTACTTCCTTCTCCTACCAGACATCCTATTCCCAGGCTGAGAACAGGAACCAGGATAGAAACTCATTTGAGTCCCGGGGTAAGCAACAGCAGACTTGCTTTTGGAAGTCCTTTCGTGGCAGTTCCAACTCCCACCAATTCCGACTTAACAGGTGACCACCAACAGGTTCCTCCCATAGGCCGCCGTCTGCAACTGTATGCCCACAAATGGGAGGAGATCACCTCGGACTCTTGGGTCCTCAATACGATCAGGAGGGGCCTAGTTCTAGAATTTCTATCCTTTCCTCAGTGGAAGTTCATCCGCTGCCCAACCCCCCAAAATCCCATGAAGAGATCCTTCATGCAGGTGGAGATTCGTCACCTTCTGCAAATAAGGGCCATAGAACCCATACCGAGGGAACAGGAAAAGCAGGGGTTCTACTCCATTCTTTTCCTGGTCCCAAAAAGCTCAGCGGGGTGGAGGGCCATCCTGGACTTGAAGCGGCTGAATCAACATATGGCCTACAAGTGCTTCAAAATCCAGTCCCTCAGTCCATCCTGGACTGTATAAGGCAAGGAGACCAGCTCACCTCCATAGAGGTAAAAGAAGCTTACCTGCATGTTCCCATTCATGTGTCGCATAGGAGGTTCCTGCAATTCCATTACGATGGGAGGCATTACCAGTACAGGGCTCTCCCATTCGGCCTCTCGTCCGCGCCCAGGACCTTCACAAAGCTTCTGGCAGCTGTGGCGGCTCACTTCCAGGCCCGTCCGATTCGACTGGAATGCTACCTGGACGACATCATCATTCAGTCCTTGAGCCACAACCAGGCCCTGTGAGACGTTTGATTTTCAACACAGATTGTGGGCTGCCATGTACTGTTACTAACAAACAACGTAGCAACAAAGGCCTGCATAAACCGGCAGGGCGGCACCCACTCCAGGAGACTCATGACAGAGGTGGAGTCTCTGGGAAGGTGAACAGAACGCAACCTAGCATCCATCAGAGCAGACCACATATCTGGGACAAGCAACGTGGAAGCAGACTGGCTGAGCCGGCAGACAATCAACAACTCCGAGTGGCGTCTGCATCCAGAACTATTTCAACAGATAGTTCAGAGGTAGACCTATTCACTACTCATGCCAAAACACACCTACCAAGGTTTTTTTCCCATTACCACTTGCCCCAGGCAGAGGGGACAGATGCGCCGAGGTGCAAGCGACCCTCAGGACTTCTCTACACATTTCCTCCCTTCCCACTGATTCCGCAGGTAGTAGCTAAACTCCTAGCGGAGGAAGCATTGGCTCAGGAGGTCCTGGTACGCAGACCTTGTCAGTCTCTCCATCCAGAGACCATGGAGGATTCCTCAGGAGCAAATCTCCATCAGTCAGGGGGCCATCTGTCATCCGGACCCCCAGTAGCTCCAATTAGCCATCTAGCACTTGAGGGGGAGCTCCTGAGTAAACAACATCTCTCTGACAAGGTCATCAAAACTATACAAGCATCCAGAAGACCATCCTCTACACGAATATATGAAGCGACATGGGTCGCCTTCTCAGCCTGGTGCAAAGCACGTGGTATAAGAGACATTTTAGCTTCAATACCACAATTGCTAGACTTCCTTCAGGAAGGATTGGACAAGGTCTGGTGCCCAACACTCTCCGTCGCCAAGTCGCTGCCTTGTCCACCATCCTTGCTAGGGGCTCTTTCCGGTCCTTGAGTCAACACCCTCAGGTCAAGAGTTTCCTGAAGGGCGTGGCCAATATCCACCCTCAGGCTATACACCGATATCCTTCCTGGAATTTGCTGTTTGTTCTGCGGGCCCTGATGAGCACGCCTTTCAAGCCGATTCGAACTGTGAATCTTCACCATTTGACTCTTAAGACTGCCTTTCTAGTGGCGATTACGTCTGCTTGGAGGGTCTCAGAGCTTGCAGCTCTCTCAGTGCTGTGTATAATTCATACTGATTGGGTCATCTTGAGACTCAACCCCACCTTTATCCCCAAGGTGAACTCTCACTTCCACAGAGCTCTAGACCTACGTATCCCAGGGAGCATTCCTGGCATAAGTTAGACGTTAGGCGAGCTGTTCACATTTATGTTAGGAGGACTAAGGAATTTAGATGCTCTGAGTCATTTTTTGTGTCATTTCAGCCTGGGTTGCTGGGCCCCAAGGCCTCATTTTCTACCATTGGACGTTAGCTACAGGCCTGCATCAAGATGGCCTATGAACATCAGGGCAGGGCCGTGCCAGGTAGGGTGACAGCACACTCCACAAGGAGTGCTACCACTACAGCAGTATGGGCAACTGAAGCGTCCATCATTGACATTTGTAGAGCAGCTATGTGGGCATCCCCTACTGCATTCATTAAAAATTACCGAATTGA